TTTATATATATATATATATATAAACATACCGATTTTTTAACTATTACAAATTAATATTAATCCAAAACTAAACTTATAAATCTCTCTTTGTTAAATGATCTACTTTAGAGGTATTGATTATAAGTTAAATGATTTATTGTATATTTGATGAGTGTAGTGCAAGATATTAGGTGGTGTATTCTACAGCAATGCTAAGTTTTGATCTAAAATTATTCCACAGTCTTAATTGTTTTTGTTTTGCAATAATTACTGATCATAAACTGATCAGTAATTATGATCATTACTGATCATAAGAATTTCTAATATTCAATATCTGATTTCTTCGTCTTACTTATTAATAAGATTCTAAATATTGTGCCGTTAGGTGACCTAGAATGGAAATTGTCTTACTAAGACACTTGTAATAACTTTCGATAACAGATTCACGCAGGCAACATAACTAACATTAGCTGTGAACATTACAAATTTAAAAGAAATTTCAAATAGTAGGACTTTTTCTCTCTAGGTTCATAATCTGTTTTAAGACTCTCTTTGCTTAAGTTTGTATATATCTTAACCAGCTTAGTAATTAACGATATATAGTAAGTTTCCTGTTCTGACTTTGAGTTACTAATTATCAGCGATGCCATGATCAAATAAAACATTTTTAATATATCTTAAGAAAAAATATTTCATGATTGTCGGGCTTTCATTTGAATGCATAATACTAAATAAGCCATTTATTTTTGAGTACAGTTATAACGAGAAGTTCAAATATAAGAATTTACTGGCCTCTTTAAGCAAAGGCAAAATTCTGAATTTGTTAGACCTTATACCATGAACAGAAATGCGAGCAAAAACGTAGCATTGGAGATTAACAGAATTTTTTATCATGTTTAAAATAAAGGCACCACAAGCTATCACAGTAGGTCTTGGACTAATTCAAATATTCAAAATCACCCGCAACCAGAGCTGAGATTGGCCTCTGACCTACTCTAGCTCAGCAAAATATAATATCACTTTTATTTTTTGGAACCGAAAAACGAACCAGAAATCTTTCAGGTTATTACCTTTCAATTTATCGACACTACACTAGGACGGATTTTCAAGCTATTTACTGTTATTACTATGTGCAGCCACATTCCTCCACTTTCATATTTGGAAGATCGGCCTTGTAGATGTTTCGGTCTCCGTCAATATACACTATCGACATTTTTGTTAACTTTGTTGGAGCACAACAAGGAGTGATGGATGCAAATGGATTTTTCCGACGGTATTCATCTAAAACTTGAGAATAATAATAGCGATCCGGAAACAAGTCGGGCGTCCGTGGTGATCCACCACATTCCCCTACGCAATAATTAGCGCTGTATCCTCTGGGCCACATGATCCAATCATCCCAGTTCAGCTGTTTGAAACTAACCCAGAGGCTTCGTTTACAGCACTGAGTGGTGTGAGCGTTACACGTGAGAGCGTATCTCCTAGTTCTCCGTCGAGGTATGGGTTCTGTAGTTAATGATAAGAAGGGCCTGATACCGGACGGATGGTGATGCCTATGAGAATGGTGGTGTCTTCTTCGATGACCTCTCCTTCCGATCGTGTTAACACCAGTGAAAAGAACCGGTTCTACAGTCGAGCCACAACCGCTACAGTCAACAAGAAGGGTTAACTTTTTACTTTCTGGCTTAGAAAACCATTCTCGTACCGGAAGGAGTAAGTTGAACCTCTGCCATCCAAATTCAGACGAATCAACATCGTGGGATTGTAGCCATCTCAGGGTATTCACAGTACTGTTTGGGGTACGATCCACCTGGAATACATATAACGTTAGATTATTTCTGGGTGGTGTCTCATCTGAAGCTGTAGGAAATTTTTGGCGAAGTTGAATCCATAAATTTGCGGAAGCCACACGAAGCCGTTGGGAGCGGCTTTGGGGATGGTAGAAGTCTAGCAGAATATTTTCATTCAGTCTCTCACCTGCAAGAAACAAATTCTAAGTTTATGTATTGCCTTCACACTGACCATCGCAACGTACGCTTCTTAAAATAAAAATCTGTGTACGAGATAAACATGCTTGTTTGTTTGTTGTTAAGCACAAAGCTACTCAATGGGCAATTTGGGTTGTTTCCACCAAGGGTACCGAGTTTTAGCGTTATAAGCCCAGTGATTTACCGCTGAGCCACTGGGGGCTGGTATAAATATGAAGCCTTTATAGAAAATTAACCCAAAGATCTTTCCCATGGAACCTCCCAGTGGCACTGCGGTATGTCTGTGGACTTACAACGCTAGAAACCGGTTTTCGATACCCATGGCGGGCAGAGCACAGATAGCCCATTGTGTAGCTTTGTGCTTAACTATAAAACAAATAAACAAACTTTCCCATGGTAACATATGGTAATCTATACAGCTCCAGATCGCAACAATGTCAACTAGTTTTAATATGGATGTTCAACCTCCACGTAGAACATACCAAACACATATAAATAAAGTTTACGATTCTTAATTTAGCCGACATTACACTTTTCAGTTGTGTTGCTGATATTATGTGAGTCAGTAATTATCATAACTTACAGACTAAAATTATTGTTGTGAAGGGTTTTGTCTGATGTGCTGAGAAACTTACACCTGTAACTTCTCCAACAAGTTGTGAGGTAAGGAAATTACTCTAGAGTTAAATCTCTGAGTGTAGTTAAATAATAGATTTCGTAACTGATCGTTCTGGGGATTAAGTAGTTTATTCTAGTAAAACTGAAGCACTGAGTGCAGTGGCCTATTCCATAGATATGAAAATCCCAATACAATGTACTAATAAACGAGAGGAATTAGGTTTAAGTGACATATTCTAGGTTTGGAATTCCAAAGCTGGTATAATAGGCTAAGTAACTTGTTTTGAAGCTAAAACCCTGAGAATAATACATTAGGTTGGATGATCTATTCTGGGCCTGAAACTCCAAAAGTAACACAGTAAGCAGTGAAATATCATTCTAGATAGCCGAATAATCGAATTTATTTGACTGAGCTAAGGGAGTTAATTCTAGATTTGAAACCCTGATATTAAAGCAGTAGGCTAAATGAGCTATTTAGCAAAATCAATTATCTATTTTAAACGTGGTGAGTAGTTCAGTAGCTTATGTGGCTTATTCCAGATCTGAATTATCGAGTTCGGTGTAATATGTTAAGTGACATAATCTAGAGCTATCAGTGAAATACATTAAGTTAAGTGTTCTACTGTAGATTTGATGAATGTAATGCAATAGGTTAGGTGACGTATTCTAATACAACTGAATAGACGAATATCAAGCAATAGGATGAGACACTTATTTCAAAAGCTGAATAGTTGAGAGTAGTAGAGTAATTTTACTGACTTACTCTATTCACTGAATTACTAAGTCTTTACATATGATTAATTCAAATTAGGCTAAACACCAAATTGTGGAGATGAACCATCATGACAGATTGACCTTTACAATTAAAACAATTGGTCGCTTGAGTTTGAAGGATAATATATCACATACATCAAAATAAATAGATAAAATTTTTCAACTGGTCAATAATAACGATAACAAACTTTCTAAGCAAATTTGGTAACTATAACTAAATAAAGAGTTTGTTTGTTCCAGAATGTTCGTACAAAGAACTATCTGCGATAGCTATCCCAAATTTCGAATTATTTATTATAGGGAAGGCCGCTAGTCAATAGCATCCATTACCAGCTTTCGGGTGCTTTTGTACAATCGAATAGTGACAAAAGGCTCCAAAGTACGGAATAGATTTTTTCCGGCAATACGCCGCCATATATATATATATAGAGAGAGAGAGAGAGAGAGTTATAGATTTAGTTTTGATTAATAATTAAAAATTATCTATAAATTTGTGGTTTCACAGAAGAAATCCGAGTTGGTGCGGTCTTAATCACAAAATTACTTTACTAAATTAATCCAAATGGTAATAAAAAATAGTGGTTGCATAGTTCATGTAGATAAAAATCCCTTGCTGTTCCGTAGAACTAAAATCTTACGCACACACACACGTATATATATATATACTGATTTTTGTATGTATGTACGTATGTAAATGTAAAGTTCAATTTAACTTTAGAAACTGGTTTGTTTGGTTTGTTTTGAATTTCGCGCAAAGCTACACGAGGGCTATCCGCGCTCCAGAAACTGTAAATAGAACAGTTCAAAATGAGCTTCATAAACTTTAAGAATATATTTTTTTCATTCAAGAATTCCAATAATGACTCAAGAATTCTGATAATGACTCAAGTTTTGTGCACTATTTCAATTTCCAGCTCATTAAAGGACTAATTTTTCTTCCTTCTCTCTTTATGAAACGTACATATTATAAATACATTCAATTAATAACATATAAAAAAAAACATAGAAGCTACACATAAGAAAACACTGCCTAGAAGACCGTTCTTTGAACTAAGCTTGGAATCAAACTACAATAACTTTGTACTAAGAAAAAGCACTGACTACAGCTTACCTGTTTTATGCGCTATAAAACAAACTTAATTTTTTCATTATTTACGTACATATGACTAGCCCCCCCCCTAGTGGCACAGCGGTATGTCTGTGGACTTACAACACTAGCAACCGGATTTCGATACCCGTGGTGGGCAGAGCACAGATAGCCCATTGTGTAGCTTTGTGTTTAATTTCAAACAAACAAACATATGACTAGCAAACAGTTGCATACTTCCGTTCATAATGAATCATTATTTTATACTGTAAAAGCTCAATTTGAATTGGAAAGTCGCAAAACTATTATAACTTATGAAGGGTGGGGGTGAAGCGGGTGTCTATGTCCTAGGTGGTTAATAGTAACGTATTTTGCTCTTCCTGTAGTTTCGGTAGTGATAGATACAAAACCTTAGCAGCAAGTTAATTATTTCTCAGATGGACGAATAAAATTGTCTGACAATTAGCTTGTACAGCGACACCTTTGGGACATTATTTTTTAACACTTAGTAACGTATGCATTATATCATTATAATAGATAATATTTTTGTTAATTAAGTCAGCTTTTCAATGGTATTCTAACGTTTCTACTTACTTTCTTTTCAAGATCCACGAGGATTACACAAGTGGTTGATTTACTTTGAGAGACTTAAAAGTCCTTGTACAACGTAGACATTCTAACAAACTGTATACATTTCATTTAAAAAAAAAACAGCCACTAACAAAGTGTTTGCGCAAAATGTATCAATGTTGTTTTTTGTTTTTGTTTGTTACCAAATTATATTGCTTTTACCAAATGCTGTTATTGTATGATATGATATGTAATAATGCATAACCACTAAAAAAAAAAGTAAACGGTATTTTCACCTTTATGTATATTTATGTCAGATAAACTGATCTCACTCGCGAGAATACGAACACACAGTACATTATATTAAAATCAACAAATCACGTGACAACCAGAGCCGATATAATGTCGCGATGGAACGACATGTATCAGAACTATATTTCGATATTGTTTGGCATTTCGTAGGTAGTGTGATGCCACAGAAAGTTTTTCGCTTCTGGGAATGGTTGTATGTAACAGCCCTTTCCGACGCAAAATACTCATAATTTTGAAATCACAAAAATGTGTTAAGATCGTGCATTTAAAATTTCCAGTACATGAATATCCTTTGCATTTATTTAATGGCATTGAAAAACAAAGGAGCACGGATCAACTTGGGAAACCAGGACCATTCAGAAAGATACTTGCAACGAGTCATATCTCAGGCGTGATAAGCAAAGTGCGGCGTCTTTGAACAGGTGAAATTTGACGAACACAAAGGTCAATGGCATAAGCTCCATGAGCCCAAGCATCATAATCAAGAAGGAACTCCATCTGGAAAAGCTACACAAGTTATGTATACACAAGTTGCTCCCTTGACATATTTGTTCAACAGTTGCATACTTCAGGCAGCTGAAGAATGAAATGGTTATTCTTGCTTTCCATATGAAGGCATGGCATTCAAATCGCCGGATGTATGTGTATCCTGTATATGTATCCGGATGTATCCTGTGGATAACTGTGGAATCGGACTGTTGAAACGTGCGGTAGAAAACCGTCGTTTTTGTATATTAAATGGATTAGAGAAACCATAGAGAGGAGTGGTGAGCTTTAAACATGACAGCCTTAGAATGCAGTCTTTTTCAATTAAAACCACGCTGCATGACTATTATAAAGATGCATGGCTGACAGATAAAGCAAGAACGAATATGGAGGGTAACGACGGGGTGAGGCTCCAAAATCATTCTAATATAAGGTACTCAACATTTGTACAACAAGTAAACTAACTGTGTTTGTGATTTGTAATAACGCAAACGGCTGGGAAAGAAAAAAATTAGACCGATTTCTCGGTTTTTTGTATGTTTACGTCAGATAAATTCACGAATACAACGCGTGAACTGTGTATGTGAATTGTATTAGTGCAACAAATTTTACTAATTTTCTGACATAAACATTCATGTTCCTGGTTTTTTCCTGAAACAGAGAAAAAGCGTCAAGTGTCAAAATAACTAATATTAATTCCAGTGAAAATCCCTAACCGAGTAATTGTCGACTCTGGTCAAAAACTAGTGTTGTCAATTCAATGTCTCATTACAGCATATTTAGAAACATTACAAGGAATAAGCGATACACATTCTTTCGTTTAACATTGGATTTATGTTCACATTTCACACAGGCCCTGTGGTTAAGGCGCTTCACTCGCAATCTGAGGGTCGCGGATTCGGATTGCCGTCACCCTAACATGCTCGTCCTTTCAGCCGTGGAGGCGTTATAATGTGATGATCAATCCCACTATTCGTTGGTAAAAGAGTAGTCCAAGAGTTGGCGGTGGGTGGTGTTGACTAGCTGCCTTCCCTCTAGTCTTTCACTGCTAAATTAGGGACGACTAGCGCAGATAGCCCTCGTGTAACTTTGCGCAAAATTCAAACCAAACCAAACCACATTTCACCAACAAGCAGACACAT